TCTTTTTCCTAGGGTGTCTCAACATCTATATAAGGTGAGACCGGCTGTTGGATAAAGTAGAATGAAGTTGTCTAATTTCTCCCGTTTATCAGCCATCATCCTCCTCAAAATTATCCTCTCTTCCTCCAACCCCTAGCCACACCATCTCCACCCTCCCTAACCACGGGACATAGCAGAAAAAGTCAGACTTCCCAAAATTAGGCAATGCAACTGCTAGAGTCTGCCTCCTTTCGAACAAAACTTCCAAGCAGTGGAGCCTGACGACTCATGGTTTCTCAAAATGAATATATAGCCGATAGGGCTAACAATATATAGGCCACGAAAGTAGTAATCTGGAATAATAGTTAGAAGTAGTTTAATTACCTTGAGGCCTAATGAGGAAGTGACATAAGGTCATGAAAATTGGTAGTTTCACACAATAAATGGCAATCACCAAAACAACCAGTGGCATCCAAATGAAAGAAGACATACCTAATGAATTATACCATCAATGTGTTGTTACCGCCGCTTCAACCTTCGTGCAATTTGGTCATATGTGTGATGCCTCTCAGCCTTGTAAAATGCTCGCTTCATTTTTTCAATGGTGGGCTGGGGCAACTCAATTCCCATGTCAAGCATCTGATCGGTATATTTCTTCACCTCGGCGAACCTGCTAAAGTCGAGAAGCCCAGCTATTAGCTCTTTGGCTGATTCCTCAGCCGGAGTAATTTGGTGCTCCACGATGCAGTGCCACACGTCAACTGCGGCAGATGGGTTAAACTCCTGAGAAAATAAGCTGATAGCAGCAGCACAGTTGGAGGCCGAGGGCAGCTGCTCGTTCTTGCTCATCTCCGCGAGGAAACCTTCAGTCTCACGAGCCTTGCGCTGCTTGATGAGCCCCTCAAGTATGGAATTATATGTATCAGAATCTGCAAAGACCCCATTTAAGGGCATTTCATCGAGCATCTGGAAGGCGTAGTCGGTGTTACCGACACTAGAGCAGAGGCCAATTACGGCGTTGTACATTGGGAGATTGGGAACCAGTCCGGCATCCGAGACCATAATTTGCCAGATAGCAATAGCATTGGCATGGTCTCCCTTGCGGACGACAAGGGCGATCGCGTTGGCAAAGAACTTGAGCCCCGGGAGGCAGCCCTTGGTCCGCATCACCTGGAGGAACTTCAATGCCTCGTTGAACTGGTCCCCTCGCACAAGCGTGGAGAGGAAAGCATCGTAGGCAGGCATGTTGCTGGCGTCCCACCCGACGCGAACGACCATCTCGCCGAAAGTGCTCTTGGCGCGCTGGACGTTCCCCTCCTTCTCCCACGCCTCGAGCAGTATCGCGAAGGTGTCCGCGTCGGGCGCGACCGTGGTCTTGTAGCGTTCGAAAAGCTCCCACGCGGCCTGCCCGCCGCCATCCCGGCGGCACATTGCGGCGAGGAGGGAGTTGAGGGCAACGGCGTCCGGCGTCACGCCGTGGCGCTCCATGACGTCGAAGGCCATGGCGGCTTCCTTGAAGTTGCCGCGCGCGCAGTAGGAGGCGAACATGGAGGCGAATGTGGCGACGGAGAGGAGGCCGCCCTCCTGGCTCATGGAGAGGACGGCGTCCCACATGGGATCGAACATGGCGGCCTTACCGAGGATGTCGACGAGGAGGTTCCAGGCCAAGGGGGTGAGCTGCACGGACGCCTTCGCCCAGCGGAAGAAGCGGACGGCCGATTTGGGGCGCTCGTAGCAGGTGGTGGACTTGAGCACCTGCTCCGCGGCCTCCGCCGTCGGGCCGACGCCGCAGGAGGTCAGCGCCCCCTCCACCTCCCCCATCGGGACGCGGCCGAGGATGTCGAGGAACGCCTCCACGCGCTGGGACCCCTCCTCCCCCACCCCCTCCCCCTCCGTGCTCTTCTCCGTCGCGCTCATCGGCGGCGGCTGTGCTTTCTTCGATCTGCAGTGTCCCCCTCTACTTTCCCCCTGAATCCTACTCCTACTGTCAATCCTAATTTTGGCCCTCCTATCCAGCGTTTGGGTTTTCTATCTATACCTGAAGAAAAACTGCGTGTTTGTAAAATCCTCAAACTCTCAGTCGTCACCTGGCGCGGCTGAAATCTGGCCTGTTTATTGGTTTGGGCGGACAAACCCACGGCCTGGCTAACTTCGTTTCGCATCCTGGCCCAATAATGTGCGAACGGGGTGCACACGAAATCACTGATTAAGCAGCACTTCATCTCAAAAAAAAGGAGCACTCCTTGTACCCTTAAGAAAAAAAAAGCATTCTTTGAAAAAGTCACTCCCATCTTTTCAGGTTGCAACAAGCGGCGGACTGCATGTACGCCAATTGTCGTAACCTGGGAGTTTTTTCTTTTTTTCATAGATTCATTTATTCAAAATGTTTTATCTCTTAAACCGTGTCCAAATCTTAAAACAGTCACCGTTGGATTCCTCACTTCAAGATTTTCAAAACTAAATCCCATGTTAATAGGTGACAAATCTTTCTTTAAGAAAAAACCAAACCGGAGCAAATTTGTGCCTCTCACGGAAGAAAAAAAAAGAAACGTGTTTTCTTTTCATTTTCGATCGGTCGTGCCTTTAGCGGAAGCAAAAAAATGTGTTTTTTCGTTTTCGAGAGGCACGGTCATGCCTCTCACGAAAACAATTTTGTGACTCTTGTGAAAGAAAAAAATATAATTTTTTCCAAGAGCTAAGAAAGACCAGTGGAAAACCGAAAAGCCGAAAAACCCCATCTAGAAAGCAGAAAATGCGTGTAAAATAATTCAAAGGAAGCGCCCACAGGGCGACACGTGGCGGCAGCTAAGAGCGTGCCCCCTTGGGGAGTCTCCCAAACGGGCGCTCCTTCCTTCATTGCTCCCTCCTATGCAGCGGTTCAGGCGCTAGCGAAACCAACTGGCACCCAGGCGCCTCTCTGAAGGGCCGGCCCGTCAGACGCGACCAGGCTCGTAGCACACAGCCTCCCAGCTTCTTATCCCTTAGACTAGCCACAGTGGGAGTAACTTCAGCAGTAACATCGGGTCCAACTCAGCAAATTTGCTTATGTGGCAATGAATTAATGAGGAGAGAGCTAGTTGTAGTAACTTAGCTAGTTACTGTAACATCACATGTCCCAATGCAATATGAGTCTATAATATAATAAATGAACCTTTGCATGTTACCACACTTAAGTTACTACTCACTATGAAGGTAGTAACATAGTCTAGAAAAATATGTATGTTACTAATGTATGTTACTCTCCATTGTGGCTAGTCTTAAAACATGCCGCCCAGCTTTGTTCGATCGGGTCAACGTCAATCCGTTGACCTTTGACTTTCCTCAAAAAGTAAAAAAAAAGTAAATTGAAAAAAATTACCCATTCAATAAAATTTCTTCCATTTTGGAAAAAGGTTCACAAACTGAAAAAAAAAAGATCATAGATTTCCGAAAAGTTCATGAATTTCAAAAAATTCATCGATTTGAATGTTCACAAATTTCAAAAAAAATATCACCGATTTGAAAAAAGTTCATCAAATTGAAAAATAGTAGATCGGTTTGAAAAGAATTATCAAATTTGAAAAAGTTCATTTGATCTTGGAAAAAGTTTCATCTAATTTGAAAAAAGCTCATCAAATTTGAAAAAAATCACAAACCCAGAAAAAAGTTCGATGAATTTAAAAAAAATGTTTGTTTAATTTAGAGAAAGGTTCACGAATACGAATAAGTTTATGGATTTTGGAAAAAAACATCAACTTTGAAAATAGTTTATCGATTTTGGAAAACAAATCACTAATTTCAAAAAAAAGGACTTGAGGAAACAAAGAAGAGAGAAAAAAAGAAAAAAAAGGAATAAAACCCGCAAACTAAAGGAAGAAAATAAAGTAGAAAATGGTAATTCTACAATGGGTAATGTTTATACACGGCGCACCGGCCGAACGGTTACGTTGGTCGCGCGCGAAGCGTTCGATAAAGGAGCGATCCTGCGGCCCAGCGCGCTCATCCCCCAGCAGGCCCACCTTATCCTGTCCTGGCTGTCTTCGTCCTCAACCTGTCTCCTTTTTCGCATCTCCATGGCTTCTCGTCGCCAATCTTGCGCGCTATGGGCGAGCCTTTCAGCCATGGACACGGCACCCTCAAGCTTGACCTCTCCCCCTCCTTTATTTCCACCTCCCCACCAGAACCCATGGTTTTGCACGCCCTCACCCCCGCTGCCGCACGGCCCACCCCTGCTACTACTCCAAGTTTTCTTTTGTCGGGCTTCTGCAGTCGGTGACGGCGCTGAGAGCGATGACCTTTTTCTTGCTTCAACCGAAACAGACGCTGTGAAAGGAGACGAGGGCAGTGCTACAACCAGCAACGCCGGAAGCTACAACCGGCTTTGATGAAAGCTACAACCAAACAGTAGAATGTTGGAACCAGAAACAAAAAAGCTACAAACCACCCGTAGAGTGTTACAACCCTTGACAAAAAAGCTTCAAGCATATATAGAAAAGCTTCAACCAGCCACTGTCAACTGAAAAAGTTGCAACTGTTTACGAAAAAAGCTTCAAGCTTAGGTGAAAAAAGATTCAACGGAAAGATATACAAAGTTTCAACCGGGCACTGCAAGATAAAAAAAAGTTGCAACCGTTTACAAAATAAGCTTCCATCGTAGTTCAAAAAAGCTTCAATCGACACGAATGAAAAGGTTCAACCTGCAAAAAAGCTTCAACCGGACATGGGAAAAGCTTCAAACAGTGAGATAAAAAGCTTCAACTGGCGTGCCAATGGTGCGAGCGACGACATTGAGAGCTGCGAGCGGTGGCACGACAGTACAACAACGGGGTGTGCTAAGACGACGGGGGCTGCTAGGTGCTGCATCGACAGAAGGCGTCGGCGTGCTTTTAGTGTTGGGGAACGTAGTAATTTCAAAAAAAAATCCTACGCACACGCAAGATCATGGTGATGCATAACAACGAGAGGGGAGAGTGTTGTCTACGTACCCTCATAGACCGTCAATGGAAGTGTTGACACAACGTAGAGGAAGTAGTCGTACGTCTTCCCGATCCGACCGATCCAAGTACCGAACGTACGGCACCTCCGAGTTCTGCACACGTTTAGCTCGATGACGATCCCCGGACTCCGATCCAGCAAAGTGTCGGGGAAGAGTTCTGTCAGCACGACGGCGTGGTGACGATCTTGATGTTCTACCGTCGCAGGGCTTCGCCTAAGCACCGCTATAATATTATCGAGGAGTATGGTGGAAGGGGGCACCGCACACGGCTAAGGAAACGATCACGGGGATCAACTTGTGTGTCTAGAGGTGCCCCCCTGCCCCCGTATATAAAGGAGCAAGGGGGGTGCGGCCGACCCTAGGAGGAGGCGCGCAGGAGGAGTCCTACTCCTACCGGGAGTAGGACTCCCCCCCTTTCCCTGGTTGGATTAGGACTTGGGGGGAAGGAAGAGAGGGGGGAAAGGAAAGGGGGGCGCCGCCCCCCCTCCTTGTCCAATTCGGACTTGGGGGGAGGGGCGCGCGGCAGCCCCTAGGCCTCCTCTCCTCTTTCTCCACTAGGCCCATTAAGGCCCATTAGGTTACCGGGGGGTTCCGGTAACCTCCCGTACTTCGGTAAAATGCTGTTTTCACTCGGAACACTTTCGATGTCCAAACATAGGCTTCCAATATATCAATCTTTATGTCTCGACCATTTCGAGACTCCTCGTCATGTTCGTGATCACATCTGGGACTCCAAACGAACTTTGGTACATCAAAATATATAAACTCATAATGAAACTGTCATCGTAACGTTAAGCGTGCGGACCCTACAGGTTCGAGAACAATGTAGACATGACCGAGACATGTCTCCGGTCAATAACCAATAGAGGAACCTGGATGCTCATATTGGCTCCTACATATTCTACGAAGATCTTTATCGGTCAGACCGCATAACAACATACGTTGTTCCCTTTGTCATCGGTATGTTACTTGCCCGAGATTCGATCGCCGGTATCTCAATACCTAGTTCAATCTCGTTACCGGCAAGTCTCTTTACTCGTTTCGTAATACATCATCTCGCAACTAACTCATTAGTTGCAATGCTTGCAAGGCTTATGTGATGTGCATTACCGAGAGGGCCCAGAGATACCTCTCCGACAATCGGAGTGACAAATCCTAATCTCGAAATACGCCAACCCAACATGTACCTTTGGAGACACCTGTAGAGCTCCTTTATAATCACCCAGTTACGTTGTGACGTTTGGTAGCACACAAAGTGTTCCTCCGGCAAACGGGAGTTGCATAATCTCATAGTCATAGGAACATGTATAAGTCATGAAGAAAGCAATAGCAACATACTAAACGATCGGGTGCTAAGCTAATGGAATGGGTCATGTCAATCACATCATTCTCTAATGATGTGATCCCGTTAATCAAATGACAACACATGTCTATGGTTAGGAAACATAATCATCTTTGATTAACGAGCTAGTCAAGTAGAGGCATACTAGTGACGTTTAGTTTGTCTATGTATTCCCACAAGTATTATGTTTCCGGTTAATACAATTCTAGCATGAATAATAAACATTTATCATGATATACGGAAATAAATAATAACTTTATTATTGCCTCTAGGGCATATTTCCTTCAGTCTCCCACTTGCACTAGAGTCAATAATCTATATTACACAGTAATGATTCTAACACCCATGGACCTTTGGTGTTGATCATGTTTTGCTCGTGGAAGAGGTTTAGTCAACGGGTCTGCTACATTCAGATCCGTATGTATCTTGCAAATCTCTATGTCTCCCACCTGGACTAGATACCGGATGGAATTGAAGCGTCTTTTGATGTGCTTGGTTCTCTTGTGAAATCTGGATTCCTTTGCCAAGGCAATTGCATCAGTATTGTCACAAAAGATTTTCATTGGACCCGATGCACTAGGTATGACACCTAGATCGGAT